CTTATTAAAACTTTTCTGGCTTTTCGAAAGATTTATTCTGTTTTTAAAAATTATTTTACCTAATTTTGTTTCATTTTTATCATCTTTTAATTTTTTGTTCGTTTCCATATGTTTGAAAGTCGTAAAATGCTTATTTGATAGAAGATCCAAATCACTATCTCCTGGAATCATAATCTATTGTCTCAAGAATTAGCATAGTAATAACCCCCAACTTAACTGTTACGATTTTTAAAGGTTTTTTTGTGTTTTGGTATCTATATTTTCGAAGCATTAGCTTGAGTTTTCCCATCTTTTCAGTATGTCAAAAATATGTTCAAGTTTCTGTCGAAGAAGCCCCCCTTTAACTTTTCAAACCTTTCTGAGCCTTATTAAAACTTTTCTGGCTTTTCGAAAGATTTATTCTGTTTTTAAAAATTATTTTACCTAATTTTGTTTCATTTTTATCATCTTTTAATTTTTTGTTCGTTTCCATATGTTTGAAAGTCGTAAAATGCTTATTTGAGAGAAGATCCAAATCACTATCTCCTGGAATCATAATCTATTGCTCAAGAACTAGCATCGAAATAACGTCACGATGAATCATTTAATGAGAATTCAATCCTGCCGTCAGAACGGAGTAATTTAGCCTACGGTTCGCTAGTTTTAGTAAAAAATAAATTTACCTATCATAATTTCAGACAAGTAGAAACTTCAAACTTTTAAAGCGACAATTTGGAAAATCGTGTTACACCAATATGAGGAAGACTAGATCATGATCGCGATCACATGAACCTGCTCCAAAGACACTCTCAGGTAAACGATTCTGAATTAGATCTGACTTCATTCGGAATTAGATCTGGGTTTGTTCGTAAATAGAAGTGGCATGATCTAATACAGAATGAAGTCAGATCTAATTCCGAACGAACACCGAATGAACTACGAACGAATTAGATCTAATTCCGAACAGGCCGGCGGGATTTCGGAGCATCGTAGCGCGCGCTTTTCAAATTTTGTTTTCTTTTTTATCGCCGGTTGCTTCATTTATTTTTGATTTTTATGATAAAATTTATTTAAAAAAGGAGAAAAAACCAGATAATAATAAAAAAGGAAAAAAAACCAAATGAGTTGGGATACAAATGAAATGGATTTTGTAAATGAGATCAGAACAAAGCACTGACAACAGTAAATGATGAGATAACAGGGAAAAGAATGAAAATGTGATTTAGAAGAAAAAGATAGAAAAAAAGTTGAAAAATGATTAACAAGGAGCCATTGGAGCTGGAGGAAAAGGGTAGAAGAGGGGAGACAAGGGTGGTCTAAGCATCATTGGGTCCACTGGTGCGCTGTTTGTCGATTCTTCGCATGTCTTCTCTTGATTGGTTCCTGAAATATAATTTTTCGGAGTGAATGTAGAATTGATTTTTTCATGTCTCAGTGCACAAGTCGTAGGTTTTTCAATTTAGGCAAGGCAAAACCATTTAGGGTTGATAAAGCATTTGAAACGAATAGTAATTTATTAGCTACGAGACATCACAATGATTATTGATAACCAACTTCATGGAACTTTTTCAATTTTCAGAAACTCACAATAAGTAGGACACCATCAACTGATACAACACATGAACACTGAGAATTATTGCAGAAGCGACACCAGTCAAATGTTCTGCTGACATTGCTAATGCTACAAGTCTCGTTTCGAAAGTCTGAATTGATAAAGAGAAACAATGATATGTGATTGCCTTACAAACCAATGCTTTCTCGGTACCGGTCACACGATGATTGGCGTTGGACATGCAAGCGAATTTCGAAGGTAGTTTGATACCATTCAAGTCAGGAATCGGGGCCGTGGGGCAGAAAATGCGAATTTTGTTGGGACCGAGCACCTCTGGCAACCAATCAAATTTTCGATCACAATAGTTTCTCTGACAATCTTAGACAATATGCTCTTTTATACGCAATTTTCTAGAAATTCTCGAAAACCCCTCACAAAAACGGAAAATTCCGTCGATCGATCGTTTAAAAAAATGTTTTTAAAAAGTTTTAATCCCCCAAAAACACATCACCGGGAGAATTCGTTTCAATTTTTCCAAACTCTTCATCTTCTTCACTGCCTCCGCCGCCGTCTCCGACAGTGCCGGCGTTGAATTCGCTTCGAATCGTCATCTTCAACGCCTTCAGCCTTCTCCTCGTTGATGCTTCTACCTCTTTTTTCTTGATTCGATATCGTGTCATGTCTTCAATATTTGAATTGAAACAGTTTTTTTTTTTTCATGAAAATATGTTCAATACAGTTACATTTGACTAGTTACTGATTTCTAGGAAAAAAATCAGGTGAAAAACTGCAAAAATTTGAGAGAAAAATTCATATTATTGAAGAAAATAAATATGGGTTAAAAAACAAAAAAAAAAATTCATCCGCGCCAACTGAGTCACTGGCGCATTTCTCGTGTCAACTTCGGTATTAGATCTAGTCCAGATCTAATTCCGAATGAACTCAGATCTAATTCAGAATTTCGAGTTATTAGATCTAATTCAGAATTTCGAGTTATTAGATCTAATTCAGAATGAAGTCAGATCTAATTCAGAATCGTTTACCTGAGCTATCGAAAATACATATGAATCAGAAGAGAATGTCTTCGATAACAGTGAGTTGTAGCTCTCAATATCTATTTCTAAAAATTTTAAATATCTTCAGGAGGATATAATATTAAACTGGTAACAACGGGGATGCGCTACGATCTGAGGTTCAGAGATGTTTCGGGAACGAGATTCCACTTCAGTTTAAATGTTCTTGTTTTTTTTTGTTAATTTCTTTTTCTCTAATGAATGTATTTTCTGAAAATCCATCTTCAAAAGAATCAATAGTTTAAACCTTTAGTAGAAACGATAAAACCTTTTTAGCAGTAAAACAACTTTTTTAAGCAACGAATAAACTTTTTTAAGTATCAAAAAACTTTTCTAAGCCCTTCTCTAACTTTTTTAAGCAACCGTAAAACTATTATTATTAGCACTTTCAAACTTTTTCGAGCAATGGATAATTTTATTCTAAGCCCTTTATAAACTTTTTCAGCCGTGGCTAATCGGACACCTTTTTTAGTTTAATCGTGGCTTGTTTATGGCTCAGAAAGGTTTTCCGAACTACCTAATTACCTCTCCGCGAATTCCATTTTCCCGATACACTCCAATTTGATTTCCACCGGCATATCACACCAGTTCGTATCGTAAACTGGATCAATCGATAACTTTTTGAATTTTTCGGTTATATTTTTGATATCAGCTGCCATTCTGTAACGGAAAATCGTGAAAATTCGCCAAAAAATTGATGAGAAACGAAACAAATTCTATCGAATTTAGTGTAAAAAAGAATACTGTAGTTTAAAGGCGCATGCTGAAAAGTACACTATTTGTTTTTTTACTCATAAAAATAAAGTTGCTACTCTACCCAAAAAAAATTAGAAATAAATTTTCTCGAGGTGAAATTTTACTTTGAAGTCCGGAAAAGTCGATTTTTTGTCGACTTTTGTCGTTTTTTCTGTCGATTTTAAGTCGACGCAAAATCGACAAGAATCGATTTTCGTCGACTTTCGTCGACTTAAAGTCGACAAAAATCGACAACGAAAAGTTCGATTTTCATCGACAAATAGCCTTGTCGAATTGTTGAATGTCGACTGTGTCGATTTTCAAAGTCGACAAACATCATCGATTTTCGAGTCGACTCAGCACTCTTATTGTCAATTCAAAAAGATCGCACCGGTGAACACACAAACAAACAAGTAAACAAGGGGGCGGAGCGATCCGCCCTTTTCCGCAAAGGCGCCGCGTAATTTTTCGACGGTATTTTAGCGATGCAGTTTTTTGGTAATTTTTCATCGAATATCTTCCGAATTTAAGGTGGTGTACGGTGAAATTTTTTATTGCATCAAAATGTGCAGAAATGCATGTAGATTGGCATAAAAATAAAGAAAAAATTCAAAAAAAATTCCTTCATCGAGAAAAACGCATCGATACAGTAGATTTCGCCCGAAATTTTGTTTTCTTCCGAACAGAATTTTCTGTCGAAAATTCTAAAAAATTCCCAGAACTTCGATTTTAGATTCGTTCAAAATATTTGAAAGTTATAGGTTTTTCAAAAAAAAAAAAAAATTTAGGAAAGCCAACATTTTTGAAATTAAAAAAAATCCAATTTTTTGAAAAATCTGCAATTTTGAAATTTGAATTTTACAAAGTCAAATTTTAAAAAAATCTGAATTTCACAAGAAATTTAAAAAATCCAATTTCCTGGAATGTACAAGAATTTATTTGAAAAAAAGCAGAAGCAAAAAATCTAGCCAAAACAAAACAATTAGCGGAATTATCACAAAAAGGCACTTATATATAATTTGACAGATAAAAAAAAACAATAAAAAATCGAGTACAAAAAAATCAATAAATCAATAAAATCACAAATTGTTCAGATACTTTTCGAGAGCCTTTTTCTGATGGAAATAAAGTGCCAAACGGTCCCGTCCGTATGCTCCATAATCGAATGAAATCGACGATTCCTCAGCGTTAATCAGCGACCAACAGACCCAGAAAATATTGGAAACTGGCATAAAAAGAATCGATTCTTCGATGATTTTCTGAAGATCCTTCTCACGATCACCAGTAACCAGATCTGATGGAAAATGCGGATTGTCGCCGCTGGAGCGCATCTGCAAAACTGAGATTGGGGACTTTGGGTAGGCGGGAATTTGAATTTTTGGAATCTTGTGGCCAAAAATGTACTAAAATTTGAGAATAATTTGAATTTTCGATTTTTTTTTATTGAAAAAAAAATCGATTTTCGGAAAATTGAAAAGTTGCAAAAATTTGAATTTTTCGAAAAAAAATTTTTGAGAAATTTAGGTCATCACCTTAAAAAATCTAGGTCATGACCTAGAAAAATGTAGGTCATGACCTTAAAAATCTAGGTCACGACTTAAAGAAATCTAGGTCACGACGTAAAAACACTAGGTCAGGACCTGAAAAAATCTAGGTCATGGCTTAGAAAAATTTAGGTCACGACCTAAAAAATCTGAATTTTTGAATTTTTCAAAAATTTCAAATTTCGCGCTAAACCAACCGTACCTTATAAACCTCATCCAAATACGCCTCACAAAACACTTTCCGCTCGTCTTCCACATCGAAGAAATGCTGATGAATTTTGTAGTACGGTGGCTCGGATTCATTGTAATCGTATCCATATTCACAGAAATGATTGCCCAAATCGAATCCTCTGCAAAAAATCGATTTTTTATAGTGGCCTAGAAAGCTCACCCGGTCAATATTAGGTCATTTCTAGGTCATTTTAGCATGGTGGCCTAGAAAACTCAATTTGCAAAAGTTAGGCCACCACGTCAAAATGACCTGGAAAACTTATCAAATGCATATCAGAACACTTTTAGGCCATTTTAGCATGGTGGCCTAGAAAACTCAACTTGCAAAAGTTAGGCCATCGCCAATTAACTGCCGAATTAATGCTTAATTACCTATAATTATAGCTACAGTATTCAAAATCAATAAGTGACAGGGGATCCTCGTCGGTGGGTTTTCCATCGGCAGTGAGTACGGTACCATCGTCGGCTAATTGATATCCGTCGATAAGGAGGAAATTTCCTTCCTGAAATATCGAAAAATCGATTTTTGATATTGGCAAATGCGCTCCACCGAACTTTAGTGAGACGGAGCGCACTTTCTGACAAGAATTCGAATTTTTTTTGAAGGAAAAATTGAGTTTTTGGGAGTTGTAGAGCGCATTTTTTGCGATTTTTAGTGTTCAAAATTTAGAAACATATTGATTTTTGAGAAAATTTCGAAAAAAATGTTTTCGAAATTTTAAAACTTTCAATTTTTTCGAAAAATTAAGTTTTTTGAATGTTTTTTTCAAAATTTCCAAAAAACAAATTTTTTTTCTAAAGTTTTTTTTAAGTTTAAAAATTCAAATTCCCGCCCAATCTCCCATTCCTACCTGCAAATCATTATGCGAAAACACCACTGGACTATTACTGTGTTGCAGGAAAAATTCGACAAAATTGAGCTCTCGCTCGAGCTGAGCAACCGTAATCGTCGTCGGATACTGAAACTTTTTAGGGATTTTTTTTGGAATTTTCTAGAATTTTTTTGAAAATTTTACATCAGATTCCGGAACATCGGCACGTGTCAAGTACATCTCAATCGGTCGTTCGCCGGCAGGCGTTTTTCTGAAAAAATCGATTTTTTGGAAAAATTTGAATTTTTGGATTTCGCGCCAAAAATTATTTTTTTGAATTTTCGACCTACTTGAATCTGTCCAACCACTGTCTAGCAGTTTGAAGTGTCTGCGGCTCCTTTGGAATCGGCGCATCCAGTGTGTGAACTCTCGCCACGATTGGAGCAATCAATTTGGATAGTCTGGAAAAAATCAATTATCGATTTTTCCGGAAAAATCGATAATTACCCCGGCTTGCTGATTTCGAGGCATTGGAGAGCTCTGCTTGGGATGAACTGTTCGAATCGGCCGCCCGGGAACACGCCGAGCATTTTTGGGCCAAGATTTCTTTCTGAGAATAAAATTATTGTTTTTTTTAATTTTACAAGTTTTGTATTTTCTGAAAAATCGATTTTCAGAAAAATTTCGGAAAATTTTTTTTTTGAATTTTTTGAAACACCGATTTTTTATCATAATTTCATCGATTTTTGTGTTTTTTACGAACTATTCGAAAAAATGAGATAAATCGCTGACAAATTGTTAAAAATTTTGCCACAGCGCAAACGCGCTCCACTGAACAAACGCCGAATTCTTCATTGGAGCGCATTTACCCCTCTCCTTACCCGATAAAAGCGTAAAAACGACAGATTCCGACAACAATTGATCGATATCTGATTGACAATGAACTCTGAGCAACGCTTTTTCCGGCTCCATCTGTGTCGGCTGAATTTTCGCGGGCAGCTCAACCAAAAACAGCAAATTTGACATTCCACCGCTGCAAAAAAATCGATAATTGATTTTTTTTCCTTTTCTAGCTTACGTTATAGCTCTGATTCTGAAATCCTCAATTTTCACTTTTCGCCAAGCACCGCCCAGATATTTTGCACACAGGAAACGCGCTCGGAACAAAATCTCGCCGCTAATCGGTGCCGATGAATCGAATTTCGAGAAGACTTTCTGAAAATTTGGTTTCAAAGATTCGAATTTCCCGCTCAAAATCACTTTCAAATCAACGCATTCTGTCGTCCGATCTTTCCACATCAACGTTGGATCATCGTGCGAAAACGCGATTTCGCATTCTTCGGAAGCAGCGCGACGCGAGTTTCCAGGCGTTTCTGTAGGTACTTCCAGCGATACCATCTGCAAAAAAAAAATTTTTGGCGAAAATTGTGAAAAAATGGGGAAAAATGGCGAAAATTCAGGAAAAACTTTTTGAAAATTCAATTTTCCCTCGGATTTCGAAGAAAGTTCAATGGAGCGATGATGCATACTTAATTGGAGGGAAATTCAAAAAAGAAATTTAAAATTTCGATTTTTCCTCTAATTTTGAAGAAAGTGCGATAGAGCGAACATGCAGAGTTAATTGGAGGGAAATTTGAAAAATAAATTTGAAAATTTGATTTTCCCTCTGTTTTTGCAAGGAGTGCAACGAAGCGAATATGCATAGCTAATTGGAGGGACTTTCGAATTTATTTTCGCCGAAAATTCATTTTTTATCGATTTTCAGCGAAAAAACAAGCTCTTAAACTGAAAATTTCCGAAAATTTCACCTTCAAACAAATTTCACAAAATAAAAAAAGAAGGAAAGCAACGAATTCCCAGTTTCCAGGTGATTTTTATAGTGTCAAAACACATTTATGTCAAAAAATATGCCCAATTTTCGAATCAAAATAAAAAAAAAACAAAATTTGGCACGAAAATTGCCCCTGGAAAATTGTCGCGCCTCCGGAAAATCGAAAAAAAGGTTTTTTCGGGATAAATTTTGCTTAAAATTCGGAAAAATTGAATTCCCTCTAAAAATTGTTGAAAGTTCGGTGAAGCGCATTTAACCTAAATTATGTATTTTCAAGCAAAAAACCCAGCTGATTTTGCATTAAAAATTGATGTCAAAATCGGCAAAAAACCGTAAAAATGAAAATTTTTTTTGACATAAATAGAAAAAAAGGAAAACCAGTTGGATTTTCCTGTCGCACACAATAATTCATGTCGTCATAAAAACCATAAAAATACGACAAATTTCGTTTTCCTTTTCCCGAAAGAAAACGGGAAAATTTTTTTTTTTGACGAGACTAAATTAGAAATGCAGGTGTGTTATGTCTTGGAATATCAGAGAAAGAGAGTGAGAGAGTGTGAGAGAGTGAGAGACGCAGGCAAAAAATTTATATTAGTTTTTTATATATTTTTCGCTGATATTTGTAATGAGTCATAACACTTTTCTAGAATTTTTGAAAATTTCCAATTTTGAAAAAATAAAAAAATTCAAATTCAAAAATAGATTAGTCGAAAAATAGTTCCTGGTCAGGAGCAAAAGTACATTTTGATCTAAAATTCTGGTTTTCTAGTTTTTGGAAAAATGCCGGAAAAAATATATATGCGAAAAAAGAGTGTGACGAACGGAAAAACCGAGAGGAAAGAGAATGAGAAACGCAGATCAGAAAGTTTAAAAGAGAGAGAGAGCATGAGATATGAGGAGCGCGCAGACAGAGAAAACTGATCGGATGGTTTTGCCGGAGAGGAATGACAAAAGAAGGATGAAATTGAGGGAGGAGAACAAAGAGAATTGAAAATGTAATGGGACGAGGAGGTGATATATGAGAGGGAAAATGGGAGGAGTAACTAATTAGTTTTAAGAAGATTGTAACTTTCTTTAGAATGAAGATTTCGAATTGATTTTTATTGCAAAATGTAGCTCTCAAAATGTTCTTCAAATTGATACAAAACATGGATAGAATACTTTATATTCAAAGTTTTATAGTGCTTTTCCAAAATTATATTTTGAGCATATAGTTGATCAAACCATAACTCACTTCAAACTCAAGAATAATCAGTGGTTTTTATTGCAAAATGTAAACCTCAAAATTTTCTTTAAAGGTGGGGGGACAGGAGATTTTTCGTAGTTTTTTTGTAGCTAGAGTATGCATTCTACCGTGACGGTGTACAACGCTTAACGCAACTCTGCGTACAGCTGTCGTCCTCGCCTTCATGTATGCAATCGAGCCTGCGCTTTCTCTCTGCCCGCGTGGCTCAGTCGGTAGCGGCTCCGCACCCTCAATCATCGCCCTCACAAGTTCAACTCCTCGAGGGGCATCTTTGAACGGAATTTCAAGAACATATTTTTTTATGTCCCCCCATCTTTAAAATGATTTATAATACGACTAGGTTGAATTTTTGAAAAGCACAAAAAAAATCTTATTTTGACTTTCTCTGTATAATACCTTTGGAATCCCAAAAAATAGGTTCCAAAATTTTCAGATTTTCTCAAATTTGAGGGTTCACTGAACTAAAATAAATCTTCAATTTTGTAGTTGACAACTTTTTTGTAAAAACTCATCCAAGTGAGATATACCGCTTAAAACCAACCGAGTACCAAAACTACCCTACAAAACTGAAGCCCTATTTCTGTTCAGTGTATTCTAAAATTTTCAGTCTCATCTAACTATTGATATCATATTTTTTAGACATCCGAAGTTTACAAATTTCGACTGAAAATAGGTAAAAGTAATAAATATTTCTGCATGTTCCAATGTACACATCAGTTTTTGACTGAAAATATTGAGACTTTGAAACATTTTTTATTTTGAGGAATCCCAAGTTTTGAAAAAAATTCAAATAAAATAGAGAAAGCTAATTGAAGACAAGGATTTCCTCGATAATTTTATATTTTGACTGTTTCAAAAGCTTTGTAAACTTTGGATGTTTTTGATAATTGGCAATCGAATCCATAATCTTTCTCTAGATGTAATTCTATCTTGAAACCTTATTAATGGAAGCTGGGACTCAAGTTTTTTTTCTAAATAAAAAATTGCAAGACTTGACCATGTAAAACGAATCCTGAAAATTCTGGCCTAGAGATAGGATAGATCTTTAGAATGAAACATTAGTATGGTTTTTTTCTTTTGAACTCAAATCTGCCGTTTCCTGATGTTTACATACAAAGAGAAAAACTAAGTATAATAATAGAAAAACTGAGTAACTAATACAAAAATAATAAAAAACGTTTCAGCTTGTTCAAAAAAGTGGGAAATTTTGAGAGGCTATAATGAGTCGAATAATGGATAGAAGAAAAACTATTAGGACAAAGCTAAAACCAACATTACAGAGAAAAAATAACCGCAAGGACCTGAATTCGCAGCAAAAGAATTAAAGGCGCAGGGCTGGAGCTACGCAGCCGCATCGCTTCGACCCTTGACGAGCATGAATGGGGTACGGTAGTCCCATGAGAATTGGGAATGTGTAAACACCGATCACTCTACACCATCACGTAGAAATGCATGCTCTCAAAATCAAAAGAAAACCCAAAATCTTTTCTGTTTCTCATATTATAAGGATAGGACAAAAATTGTTGGTTTTTTTGATGGGTGGATGTTTCACTGATTTTCAATTATCTCACTATCAGAATATTACAAAAACCAAACATGCAATTGCGCTCCAATGATAAAGGATAATTTTCGAAGAATTTTTTTCTCAAAACTTTACTATTTCAGAAAGGTCTTTTAAAAGTTTAGTGGTTTTGATAAAATCTGATAGGAAGTGACTGCTTATTAGATAGTTCATCCATTTCTTATTGAAAAATTCTAAAAATAGCCAGGAAAATAGTTTTTTGGTGCACTACACTACGATCTATCTCTTGTAACCTAGAACAAAAAGTACCGGAACTTTTTCACAAAAGTTTTGTACTAAAATATAGGAAATCGGAGATAAAGAGAGACTATATCTTGTGTGTGTTCGGGTGGAAGAGATAGTAGGGGGAGATTTTCAAGTGATATTCAAATAGAAACTCTCCGCACAAAAAGTATATAAAAGTGACGAGAGAAATGGGGGGAGTACATTGGGAGGGATTTATTGGTTTGAAAAACTCAAAAAGTGAAACATTAAAAATTCAACAGAAAATAGGTCAAAGTTTTTGGAAGATATGGAGAAGTTGAAACTGAAAAATGATTGTCTTAAAATTCGGTTCATATAAGCGTCCCAGAGAATTGAACTTTCGGGCAAAATTTTAAAGCTTCCAACTGAGCTACGCTGTCGCAGTGGGATACGATAGCCACAACTGTACAGACCCAAACATCTTGTCGTATATATTACTATGCGAACTATTAGATTAATCGTATAGAAATTTCGAAGCAGTGCAAAAATTTTCCCGTCTAGATCAGTTGAAAACGTTCCAGAGAGCGCACTTTTCAATTTCGACCAATTTCGAAAACTAACATGTTTGAGATTTCAAAATGTCTTTATAATTGGAAATTTCTCATTTAATGGGTCGATGGGAGAATTCAAAAATTAGCCAACAAAAACATCGGTAATTTAAAAAATTATGTATTGTATATTCACAAAAAAAATGTTTGAATAGTAGTGAAACGCAGAAAGACTTGTAGAAAGCAGAAATCTTAGTTTCGAAATTTTTTGGCTTTTCGAAATGTTTTAGGCGCAAAACTGTTAAAGGAAACTCTATATCACTTTAAAACTACTAACACAATGCTTATAGAAATCACAAAACATTTAAAAAATGCTATTGAGCGTATTTACCGAACTCGAGAAATTAGAAAAGTTAAAAATTATTCATAGCTGTGAATTTTGTGAAGTCCTTCGAAAGATAAAAATATATCAAATGCAAAAATGTCAATTTCTGAAAAAAAGGTTTCGAAGATTTTTAAAACTTATCGGAGTTTCCTCTGTGGCTCTAACATTGTGAGAGTGTTCAGTGGAAAAGTGAAAAATTTTGTAACCATCTAGAACGTTTCAGACATGGAAACTGTTTTTTTTTTGTCTGTATAAGGTGTGTAAAACTATTGCGTAACTGTGTGTAAAACTATTGCATCAACATAAACGCATGAATCCTACAGTAAAAGACATTACGAAACAGTGAAAATTATAGATTTTGATTGAAAAAAACACACACAAAAACACATTTTGTGGTTTCAAAATGGTTTCATAACTTTTTACTTCTTCCTTTGATTCAATAATTTTGATGAACTCGAACGAAATGTTTTGTGACTTCAAAACTAAACAAAAAACATGAAGGTTCTCAAAAAAAGATTTTCAAAAGTTGTGAAATCCAGAAAATCGCTGAAAAATGTTTGTGTTCAGGTTTTAAATTGTTGCTGGGTACCAAAAAAGGTTGACAATGTTATAGAAATTTCTTT